GACAAGACACCTGCAACGGTCGTCGGAATAATTAAAACCATCTCATTACGCATACAGTTCCTTCGCTCAAACGAGACAAGGTTGTGCGAAGTACGTCGTGCGCTTATTAACAAGCTTCAGTGAACAACACTGCCAACAGTAAAAGCGGCAGATATTGAAGGCGGAATCAAAGAGAAAAACCCTGAAAATTTTCCACTTTCGTTTTCGCCCGTCTGGTAAGTATATTCACATAACTGTTTAATACGGCTCTGTGCTGTCGTTTGTTGTACAAATCTTAAAATTAGTGCAAATTTGCTCCGCCGTCGCAACCTCTCGAAGTGGATTTCCCACAGAGGTAAATCTTGGAATTCAACTTTGAGTCGCGTTGATTTATTATATCTTCTGATCACTGAAAAATATCAACAAAATATCACCTATCATTTTCTTTTGCTTGTTGTTTAGTAAATCATTTCTGCAAATAAGTTTCTGAAATTTGCAACAACGAAAATAATCAAAATTTTACACGACAAGACTAGTAGAAATGCTTGTTTGCTGATTCGAGTCGCGCATATTTCTCTCCAGTTCCTCAATGCCTTAAGCTTCCGATTTTCAATGTTTTACCGCAATTAACTTAGCAGAATTCTTGGGTATAAAGTGTTTGTAGCCATGGGAACAGTGTGGAAAATATTTCCCGGCGCTTGTGTAACCACGTTTGTTTTCCAATTTAAACTTTGCGATTAATACCCCGTTAGGATGGGCCTAAATTGCTTGTTCCAAAACGAAATGAATGTAGACTAGCACTGTTCAAAAGATAGCCGGGTCAGAAACAATACGTTTTCGCCATACTGCTGGCTTTAGAGCCATAATGCTGACAGTTGTTTCCAGCTGCTATTTTTGGTACTCTAGGCCGGGAACTCTAAATTTCTATCATCGATTGACTAATGCTTAGTTTCGTTATTGCGTGATAGTTTTGATCAAAATCTAGTATCTTTTGTCACAGATATAAAACGATTGATCAATATCTGTAATTTTTTGGGGAGGAAAGGTTGAGGTCACCATTTTTAGTCGATAAGTTTCAAACCGTTTTTTCAGACACCGCCGGGGTACGTATAGCCAGAATGCGCATTAGTAACAAACTTCCGAGATCATGACTTAATAAGATCTAGAGTAGAAAAGAAGCTTCAAAAAACAGGAAATTTAAACTGGAATTGAGTAACTAGCAATCGAAAAAAGGGCACATGCAAATTTTTTCACGAACGCCCAAAAGCGATATTGAATGCGATTCAAATTCAAATGTAGATAAAGAAATCATAAATTGTTAAAAACGTAAAAAAAAGACAGATAAAGAGGAAAAAGAAGGAAAGATACATTTGCTGGTTCTCGCTGCGTATTGTCTTGAGAACAAGCATGGAAATCCGTTTAAGATCAATGACGCATTGAAGTCAAATTCTTGTCTTATTAACATCATATTTTTCAAGGCATCCCACTCGAATTTCTTGTGTTCAAAATTTTGATGGTTGTCCCATTTCATTCAATGGTGCGTGAAAACAAAGGAGATACACCTTATATTACGATTTAAAACTCTCGTTAAATGAAAGTAAGGAGATTTCCATTGAAACTCTCTCTCTGCGAAAATTAATGAGCAAGATCTGGCGACCAGAGACTTCCGGARAAATGGTTATGAAAACATTTTCCTAATTACCAAAGCTCAGCACATTAACTCGCTTTAAAGAACACCAGTAATTTTATACAATAAAGTCGAAGGATTTTCATATTTCCCAATAAAAAGCCAAAATTTAGCTTATTCTTTGTGTGTGACAGAAAACCTCAACTTTTCGAGTATCAATGAATCGAGATATGAACGTCTAAATCTGCTGCAATTGTAAGAAAAAAACTACCAAACGGAGGGCTTTTTTTTTTTTTAAGTACTTGAAGGCACCCTGTAAAGAAAGACTCACGACGCAGTCATTACAACTGATCGGTATGTTGCTCAAAGAGTTAATAAAGGCGAGGAATTGCCATATTCAACGAAAAAAAAAAAACATTTATTGCTCCGGATAGAAGTGAACTGACAGTCGTTCAAGAGGACTAGAGGAAGTCTGCATACAATCCGGCACCGCTTGATTAAGGCTCACACATACAGCTTTTATTTTAGAACAGCAAGCTAGCCTATTAACGGAAGGTACAACAGTGTTTTTTACTAAGCTTCTTTTGATAATTTCGAAGAAGGACCTAAAAATTATTCTATCACTTGCATTTTTTAACTTTAGCACCGACTCATTACAGTAAGTCGGTCGAGAGCTTCGTTTTAGCTGAAAAATGACGGAATTTATGTATTACTAATGAGTTTATAAGATGTGTAATGAGCTGAAAGAAGAAATTTGTAAGAGCATTACATCGATTTTACTTTAAGATGTGATAAAAAGGTGTTTTATCTCTTCAATCGGCTTTCTGTGACCAAATGGAGATATAGCGCTCGTAATAAGAGGACATCAACATTATGTAACAGTTCAGATTACGTCCCGTATCATCGCCACGAACAAGACAGGCGAGAAACACAAATGTATGCTCTCACATAAAATTTTCAATTCTTAACAGAACTGAATATTGCACTAGAGCTTCTTACTACGGTGTGCTATTTTAGCACTAAATTCGCCTGTTTGAAGATTTTCTGTTCAGTTTTACGTTCTGCTACGTTCAATTCTTAACAGAACTGAATATTGCACCAGAGCTTCTTACTTCGGTGTGCTATTTTAGCACTAAATTTGCCTGTTTGACGATTTTCCATTCAGTTTTACGTTCTGCTAGTCAAGTGGTAATTAAAGGTATTTATACTGGAGAACACGTTACCGCTATAAAAGCGTTAGAGTAAAATTTCTTTCTTTCCACGAATACACCGGTGATCTGAAGGAAAGTTTTTTTTCTTTTTAAAGCTGTTATCAATTAAAAATTTTCTTTGCTCATATTCAGTTCATTTTGCGCTCAAACGTTTCTACGTTGTTAGAAGGGAAGCTATCGTTTTCGCAAATCACATACGGGGCCAGACCAGCACAACTTCTCAGTCAACCCGTTTTCAAGTGGGGAATATACCATTAATTTGCAAGCATCGCTGTCGCAAGGATAACACGAAAATGCTTTTAATTACTAACTGTCACAGATCGATACATTCTTACAGCCAATCATTTGCGAACTCTACACAAAATGACCTTTAATTCGTTTTCAGACAACGCTTGTCAAGCAAACTAATTGTGAAACCGTTAATTTTAACCATCAACCACTGAGTCAGTCATTTACTGATATTATTCACTGGTAACTAAGGCGGAGGACGCTCGAAAACCCCTCGCAGAGGAGGAACGTTCGGAGCTCAAATAATGATTTAAGTATTTCCCAGAGATTCTAATCGCTAATAACCAGCCTTGCCTTCTGTCTCACATGGCAATATGTAATCCGCCAAAAGCGTGTAATAACAGAACTTCCTTTTCGTCTTCCGTGACTTAGGGAAGATGTTAAAACAATATACAGTGACTCACTTCCAAGGAAGTGCGAACCACCTAAGATTCTTTATCGCAACTGTTAACTGCTTAGAAAGTAAAGGAAATAAAAACTGTATGTACGCTTTTTTTTTATGCTGGAACAAATGAAGAAAAATTACAGAACAAAACAAAGCAATGATAAAATTTAATAGTTTCTTCCTGTTATGATAAAAGTCGACCAAACAGAAATAGGTCTTTCTAACTACCAACCAGTGAACTCGGACGGCAAAATTTCGTGATGAGAAAATTTCCTGAGCTATTCATTTAATTCCCGTCAAAATTATTAAAGATTTGTATTTCAAAGAAAGAAAACCATACAAACGGAAACTATTGTGCACCCAAATCTCCTAAATTAACACAGCGCGGAGGGTATATTCGCTTTGGCTTCCACATGTTAATCGCTATCGAGGAAATGATTATGGCACAAAGTTAATACAAATTAGTACGTTTTGAGGAGAACATGTCTGGCGAAGCCGGTTTCAATCAAAAAGTGGTTAACAATATACGTTAACGAAAGTCAATAACTACGACTAAGGATATTCATTTGCATCTCAAACAGCTGTCATCGTTAACTTACTGAACTGACAAGCGAGTAAACAAATCTTTTCTGCAAATAAGCACCTGAGCCTTTGTTTGCTGTTGTCAAGGTGACGGGTTCTTTAGTGAGAGCCAGGTGGTGACGTCGTTCATAATCCATGGCGCAGACAGTGTTTGATGGAAAAAGCAAATGCTATTGCCGTGACAATTCGTTCTCTACGTTGTATTATTTGTTATAGGAGTTGTAGAAAGTTTGGGGGACCCAATCCATGGCGGCGAAGGGAGAGATCAGACACGGCGTGGAATGAAAAGATTGACCAGATAGATGTCTGGCTGCATATTTATTCATTATCACAACAAGACGACCTGAAATCAGAGAGAAACCATCATGTTGGTTTATCATTACAACTTTTTTGACCGCATGACGAAGATAACGTGCGTACGATCGCTTGGAAGGGTACGATTCTTGCTACATTTTCTTGGCTCTTTTACGATCGCTGACCAAGTCCTTTCATGAGCGTTAAGTGAATTTGTTTTGGATCAAGTAATAAGTTAGCGACCTTGTCAAGTGCAATTATGGTCTATTTCACGAATTACTCGAAAGGATACGTCGTGGAGTTTGAAACTCCGTGTTTTAAAAGCTGGCTTCTACTACCAGCGGAAAACTTGTGGAGTGATAGAGTGCGAGGGTTTCTTTACACAGTTGCCATGTTTTATCTATTTCTAGGTATCGCTATAATCGCCGATATTTTCATGAGCTCTATTGAGGTAATAACAAGTAAAAAACGCAAAGTTACGCGATACGATTCGGAGAAACAAGAACGCGTAGAGATCGAAGTGTTTGTATGGAATGAAACTGTTGCTAATCTGACTCTAATGGCGCTCGGATCTTCAGCGCCGGAGATACTCCTCGCGGTGGTAGAAACCATTCAAAATCTGGGAAACATTCCGGATGCATCACAGGAAGACAAAGAGGGTCTTGGTACTTTCACTATAATCGGATCAGCTTCGTTTAATCTGCTGCTTATCACGGCACTTTGTGTGGTAAGCGTTCCCAGCGGAACTGTTAAAAAGATTCGTGAATTTGGAGTCTTTATTGTCACTTCTGTGTGGTCGCTGTTCGCGTATGTCTGGCTGTTGGTGGTGTTGAAATGGTCCTCGCCAGACGAGATCGAGTTATGGGAAGCGTTCGTGACGCTGAGTTTTTTCCCTCTGCTCGTGATTACATCGTGGTGTCAGGATAACGGCTGGTGGTGCAAGCGGGGAAGAATTCTAAGCGTTGAGAGTCCTGAGGTGAGTGGTTTGAAATAATTTTAATTTAAGCACATTGTCCAGTTCAATTACTTGATACTGTTCAATTCAATTACAGCGGCAACCGGTTTCCGTGAGAATTCGCAGTACTTCAAGTCTGTTTGCTTTTCTGCTTATTTGTTTTCTAAAACTCTCTACAAAAATTTCTGCTGGCAACCGACATCACCTAGCGGAATTCGTATTCTAGCGTTTACTTACAAGCTTATAATGATTGACAATTGTTATAAAAGTATTCACGTTGTCTCTTTCCAAACAAACACACTTCCATTCCGTAAACAACGTTAATCCGATACGGTCACTGCAGCGGTTTTGTTTTAAGGAAAAATAATATGCTACACTGCTTACTCATTCACTGAGTCAATCAATACAGTGTGAGATAAGTAACTTGCCAAATAAAGACGCACGTTTTCAGGGTTTCTTTTAGCTCTGCTGATCGAGGTTAAAAATCGCTCCTTTCTAGATTGACATACATTTTTCAAATCTCTTTTTGACTGGTTCAAACGGTTCGCTCGACCATTTCGGGTTTTAATCATTCTGAACATCACTTCTGCAGCTTTCCGCAGGTGATAGGGCTGAAATATTCCTTCTCAGACGTTTACGTCTAAAATTAGGTACACTGATGAATCACTGAACTACGCGAACAGTATGCAGCATTCAGGGCAACGACCGCAACAGTTCGCTCCTTTCAATTTTTAGTTAATGTAGTTAATCCGTGAGAAAACCAAGCGTAAACCTTATTTATTTTCTGACCACATTCCAGCTAATCAGTTCTTTCCTTGATGAGATTCCAATCAAGTAGAATGTTATGTAATTAACGATTTTGGATAAGCTTAGTTTGTAGCGTTTTTGACCTTACAGTATCAAATGCGCGTGCGATGCTTATAGGTACAATGAAATATAACCATCCCATCGTTCAGTTTTTTTATCTGATGATGACGCCATCTTTTTTCCACAGGGAGTAAAGAAAACTTTTGGGTGAAGAAGACCTCATAAGAATAAAAATCATAGACTCGATTTTTCAGCGATATTAACAAATTAGAGTACTTACTTACTGCCGCTCGAGTCTGGAGTTTGAAACAGTACCTGTTTCGATTCTACCGAAGTAGAAGTGTTTGTAAAAGGCTTTTCTTGCAAACAAAGATGTTTACGTCGGCTAGTATGCCCCCATGTTATCAGCTGGGAAACTTTTTACCGCCAAAACTTCGTGGGAAGAGTTGATGCGTATATGGAACTCCCGAAAAAATCCACGCTTTGCGCAAGTTCCACATAAGGCCGCTGATCGCTTTTTGCATGGCTCAGTCACATCGCTGACTTTTGAATTTTACTACCACATTGAATAGAGTTTTTGCCGAACGTTCTATCGATTGCTTTTTTAAAGCATTTGGCTCGCCCAACTACAGGACAGTTCCGTTAGGGAGTAACAGATTTCAGCTTGTCAGTTTCTTAGAGAAGAATGCAGGGATTATATATTCAGACGGTATATATTTGTTTGTTTGTCTGTTTGTTGTGTAGGTTCGCGTGATCGGGCTCACAGAACCTGGTAGTCCGATGATGACTCATCGGTCGATGGAACTTAGGGCTTTAGAGCAGCAAAGATTTAGGTAAGCATGAATGAAATTACCGATAGTCTCAGTTCCAACCAGACACTTCTATCATTGGTAAATCCTCTTCAACTATTACATTTCTCTATGCTATCTTTCATCAAGTTTTTTCTTTTTGTGTGTTGAGATAGAAAACACACTTTTCAAGGAATAAGATCGAAATTAGTTCCTAGGATTGCTTTTTTTTCTACAAGAATCATCTCTATCGAATAAAAATCGTGTATTGCATAAAGTTTTTCCTAGAACGGTACGCTGTAACCAGCGGTCCTATCGGGCCAGTAAAAGTTTTGAAAACTTAAATAGCCTCTGGTTCTACATACTACCCTAGCCGCCACCTCTTAGCATGAGCTATCAATTCATAGTGGACTAAGAGGCCGACCATTTAACTTTTGAGGGGAGAGGGGTGGGTGATTTTAAAAAAAAAATTTCCTGCAAGCGCTTGTTGGAGGAAAACAAATTGCATGCAGCCCAAATGTAACAGAAAAAATGTATCAAAAAATCAAAAAAAAAAAAATATCCTGCACAGCAGATTGCTAGAAAAAAAAATCTTGATGACCAGAAATCACCCAATTCCCCCCCCCCTCAAAAGTGAAATGGTCGGCCCCTAATATCTTTTACTTCAATTTATGTTTCAAAGTGGAAATGACTTGAATGGAAGCAAGGATAGAATTAGGTCAGTGTAATATTTATTTATTGTTATTATTGATTTATGATTATCATTGTTTACATTTTATTTCACCTGTCAAGCAAATCATATTTTTTTTCACATAATTTATCTGAAGTTAATGGGCTTGTTATATGAGGGGGGGGTGGTTGAAGATTTTTTTTTTGGAGGACCACATGGCATTTTAGGGAGAAAGTTTCATTAGGGATAAGTTGTGGCCAACAGAGTATAAAGAGGGGGGTGGGACCATAGAAAATTGACTGTCCATGACAAGGGATCACAGGAATATCACTGGCCAGTGTGGATCAGGAAAATTTTGTAGTAACATGTCCTAAAATTCCCCCTCCCCTCCTTCTTTTACTAATTAAACTTCTTCATTGTTTCTAGGGGTGTTGTGAATTTGTGGAAAGAATCAAATCCTGATCATAATGACAATAAAACAGTCGCTGATGTTGCCTTAGCCCTAAAGCAGTTTAAACAGTTGACACAGCAATCACAAAACAGTGCTTCGTCTAGAGCACGGTATGTGTTTTACTGTGCTGTAACTGTTTGTTCGATCATTGACGTTGTAGTAGTTTCATGTACTTATGTGTTGTTTTTCATTCTATTGAATTTTCTTTGGGGAGAGGTGATGACCTTCTCTTTAAAATGTTGGATTTCTTATTGAGAGGGTCTGGTGCAGGTTCAGAGTTGTCATTTAGGGTAAGCTACTGGTGAAGTTTGCCAGATGAGAAAGCAGCAATTGCTGGCTGGATTTTTGGTTGGTAATGGCTTGGTAAAGCACAATTACAGGCACTTTTGAGGTTACCCTGTGACAATCATTCACTTTGAGCTGCCTCACTTGAAATTTTATCCAGGAGCCTTATTTCATCACTGCAGGCTATGGTTGGTGGTTGCACTTTGGTTGGTGGGTGGTAAACCCAAAACTTATTGATTATCTCTCCAATCAGATGTATCGATAATGATGTGCCCTCAGTAGAAAAACAATGAAGCAGGTTACTTCCCAGTCTGTTGTCAGCCCATGACAGGACGGAAAATGTGTGCACTGTAAGTACCTCCCGTTGTCCCATACAAAGACTTAGAAAACTTTTCTAAGGCTTTGCATGGGACAACGGGAGGTACTTCCAGTGCACACATTTTCCGTCCTGTCATGAAACTGGCCATAGACTAGCATCCTTTCACGGGAGAGTAGCAATATACCTGTTAGGTCCAATGGCACAGCTGTGGGGGAAAGGAGTAGCTAAAACCTTGCCCTCTTACTTATTTGATTAATTTACAGCTTTCGACATGTTGCATTGAGCAGCATTACAAGACAGAAACCTGGTATGAAAGAACCTGCTAAGGACCAGGAAGAACAATTAAATATGCTGTCAAAATCTCTTTATGGATCTATAGTTTTTGGCGGAGGTAACTTATGCATATCCCATCCCCTGCTCTTAAAAAACTGCCTCATTTACTGTTAACAATTTAAAGAGAAATATGTATTGATTTCAAGGTAGGCTCTGGTAGATCTTATTTTGTAGTCAATTTTATGATCATTTAAGAAATCATTGATATGTAACCAGAACTAAGCTTGTGGGAGTTGTGTGCTCTTACCATTTTACAAGAGGAAATCTAGCCTTGGTACACAGTCAAGCAGAATTATAAGAGGGCCAATCCAAGATTATTAACTAAATATTGAATTTCATGTGACAGTTTTTCTTACGAATTAACTGCATTTTGCCTTTTATGCATCACAGGATGTAACTATTATCAAGACATTTATCTTGTCACACAACCAAATTATATAAACCATGAGAAATTCTGGTTTAATAGATAGCATTCCGTTCTTTTAGTAGATGTTAATTCAAATTTTTTTCAATAGATGAAAAAGCCTTCAGCTTTAGTGCAGCATCGTATTCAGTTTTAAAAAGTGCAAAGAAACTATCAATAGAAGTGCAACTCAATCAAAGGATAATAAGGTTTGTGCAAATATAACCAAGTCAGTGAGAATAAGAGTATCAGCTCTGCTGATGTTGATTTTCCAAGTTGACTTTTAATTCCCAAATTTATAACTTACAATGTTTTCCTTTCAACAGATCACCTTGCATTCCATGTAAAAATTTTCAATTAGCAGCCCCTTATGATCCATCAACACCCATTCTTAATGGCAAGTCGGAACAGCTTACAATTCCAATCATCAAAGCTGATTTTCCGGTTTGTTTCAGTTTTTTAAATTTTAATTATCTATAGTACCACTGAAGTTTGTCGTAACTTTGCAAACTATGTACTTTTTTTTACCTTCTCCTTAAAAATCCTCTATCATTTGTTGATTTAATAATCGAATGAAATACTTTTGCCATCAGATCTTTGTTACTACATGAGGTTTTTTTTCAAATAATGAAGATTGCTTCATGCACTTGTGTGTATTCGGCAAGATACAAAGGTTGGAGGGCATGAAAGATGGTTTAGAGTTGCTTGATCATGATTTATCAGCAAGATCAAGTGTAGTTTCTTGACTAATTAGCTTGACTGTACAGTGAAATTGAATTAAATTACACAAATTTTCCAGCCATTTTATGAACTAGGGTACTTGTAGTTGTCAGTTTAAAAACTTGAAATGTTGTGACATTTTAACTTAATGTTGATTTTAGTCATCTTTTTGCATGTATAGCAGATGGTGTAAACTGTGCATGAAACTTGTAAAACATGTTTCTTTTCCTTTAAATCTTCATCTAGTACTTGTAAGATATTTTAACATTGCCCAGTTTTTGATAGGGAAGTAATGGTGTTCCTTTGTCAACTCCAAAAATAAATGGAGATATACTAGCAAGGGAAAGGGTATATAACATACAAGATGCAGTGTCTACCGAGAACAACAGTGAATTTCAACTTGTGGAAGATCCTGCCCAGTCAAAAGCTAGATCATTTTATGTGGATTACGAGACTCGAGATGGAAGTGCTAAACATGGAAAGGACTACCATAGTTTAAAAGGCACATTGGTGAGTGAAATAATGTTGTTACAAATCCTTCATTTTTAACTGCATGAGATCCAGGCCATCCTTAGAGGCACTACTGACCAACATTTCTCAAGTTTTGACTTTGCCTACATGTTATAATAATTATAGTCATGTAAAAGCCTGAAGTAAGAATGAACATGAAAGAAAACCAATTTGAATGTGTAATCCTTTCTTGGTTTTTATCTGAGGATGGGGCAGATCGATGTTTGCAAGGAATTCTGAAGACAGAGGCAGCTAATGCCAAAGTTTTGCTCTTTAGATTTTAACCCAGCTTGGTTTTTTTTTCACAATTCTTATCATTAGTGTTCACATTATCATAATTATTTTTATAATAATGTTATTTAACATGACATTTTCCTAGCTCTTAGCCTTGATGTGTTTATATAAGGTTGATGTTGTGCATAGTTTTGTTTTGACATATCACCATCGTTATCAATTGTTTTTCATTCTCCTTTGTTTTGGTTTGTTTCATGTTGTTCCTAATTTGATTTTCAGACATTTCATCCAGGAGAAACCAAGAAAATATTGACAGTTACAATAGTTCATCATGATGGATATGCACTGGAAAAAGACTTCTACGTGCTGTTAAAAAATCCCGTGGGAACTGTTGAACTGGGAGAACCAAACTTGGCTAGGATCACAATAATAGATGATGATGGTAATGTGAATTAAGTGCAGTGTGAAAGTTACTTGAATCTGTATTTGAAAAAACTCCAAGAATTGAATAATTTATGTGTATATATACAGGTTAGTGACCAACTGTGAGGTCAAGACAGCTGGATATTAGCTGAGTTGTTTTTTTTTTTGGGTTTTTACTGATGGATCAGACAAAGTGGATGTCCTTAAAAATGCTAAAAAAGAATGAGGCTATTATCCAGCCATCTTGACTGCACAAGCTTGGTCAAGAAAGGATTCTAAAGCAAATAAAACAATTTTAATTAACATGAATCATGAATGACTTGTTTTGAGAGCTGGGAAAGAAAGCCAACTGTGTTTGTAGCAAAATAAACCTACAAGGGTCATCTAATAGTATGTTTTCTTTGTTTTGACTGTCTTGACTACCGCTTTTTTGCAATTTCATTGCTGACATTGTACAAAAGTTACAAACTTTGTATGTCCACTCAAAGCCCTTTCTCTCTTGTGTGGGATCATAGCGGGTATCCCAAGTAGTCAGGTTGAGCCCATCTTGTCCACTTGGGTAACCAATCTGAACACAGGATTCACTTCAAATTGCCTATGGGCACTGGCAGCTATATAATAATAACACTTTGTCTGCAACTTGAATGCAGTCCTGTGTTGTCTTTCAGAGCCTGGTGAATTCTCCTTTGAAGATGCAAGTTATCACGCCAATGTAGTAACCAGTGATGTCACTTGCACTATAATTAGAAGGAAGGGGTGTGATGGCATGGTCACTCTGACTTACAATACCATGTAAGTGATAAAAAAAAAAAGCAAAATTTAATTCGAATCTCAAACATCCTCATGCAATTCAGAAGGAGTCTGAAACAGTCAATGTAACCAAAATCCAGCACAGCATACATTCATCTGATCTGATGTTACGTTGTTTAGGAATGGCACAGGCTGCGGTGGGACGGAAGAGGAACTTCAACAGAAGAAGTGTGATTATGAAGAGACAGTCGGTGGAAAGTTGTATTTTCAACATGGTGAAACATCCAAACAACTAATAATAAGAGTGAATCCTGACTGCAAGGTAATGGATGATGGGAGAAAGGTGGTAACTGTTGATAGAACAATATTCAATAGAGTGCGGCAAGTAATTCAGGATTGTAGTGGTTTTGCTTTGTTCTCTCTGTGATTGGTCCAAAAAACTTGTGCCACTCTCTCAACTAATCAGATTCAAAGCAGAACCCGTCATAAAAAATGAAGACCGGGGGTCTTCGTTTTCGTACTATGAAAACGAAGACCGGGTCTTAGGTCTTTAGGTCTTCGTTTTCGAGGGTCTTCGTTTTCGTAACACCCACCCAATGACAAGTTGGTGATTTGTGTTTTCCTGCACTTTGGATAGTTGGCTTGTTTTTACTCTGAGTTCTCATCAGAGTTCTCTGAGTTCCTGGCTGGGGCTTAACGTTGAGTCCTTAAGCAAGACACTTCACTCACATTGTTTCGTCTTCTCGGATAGGACGTAAAGCCAGAGGTCCCGTCTGTTAAAGGGTAAGGGGTAAGAGACGTTAATTTCCCACACACGAGATTACTGTGTGCTGGATGTCCTCCCCTGGGGTGGGTTGGGAGAGAAAACAGCAGGTCCACATCAGCTTATACAGTTGCCAATAAATTCAACCTGCTTGAACAAATAAACATGATGATGATGATGATGATGATGTGCAATTTCATATTTGATTGCCAGCCAGGCTGTCATGATATTTTTTATTTTGGTGTTATGACACTCAATTGAATTGCACTCTATAATCATTATGTTCATTTGGTTAAATTGATTCAACAAGTGATACTTTATGAAGGTGAGGGAGGAGGAATGTTTATGGCAAGGAATACAGTTCTGTGCTGTCTTGCACATTGTAAATACAGCTGACAATTAAGTTGCTTAAATGTTTTTCACTCTAAACCCATTGCAGAATTGCCCCAATTTATGTACATTGAGCGATAGCATAAACTTTTACCCATACATCAGATTGAGCCAAGTTATTTTCTCTACTTATCAAGGCAGGGTGCATCTCTAAAGTAACATGATTCGTGTGATTGTACACAGTTTTATCAAACCAGCAGTAGAATGTAATAGCTAGAACATAAAAGTTGAAGTGAAAAATTTTTAGACTGACCACTAGTAATTTAAGATGGCAGGTACTGCCCTGAGGTATAAACACTCTAAGCTGAGGGGTACTGGAAAAAAATTGAAGGCCAATTTTAATGCTTTTTATGTTGTTTAATTTCCTGTATAGAATAAAAACTTTATAGTGTTATTGAGTGATAAAAGTCCAGGAGCTAAAATTGGACAGAAAAGGGCAGCAGTTATAAACATTACAAATGGTAAGCTTTTTCAATCTTTAACTTCCAGAAGTGATTAACATGTAACTTCTCCCTATAATATCCATACATGATCCAGCAGACAGGTAATGTCAGAATACTCAAACTTATCAGGTAGAAGTTGTTACCTTGATTGAACACCAAATTCTTGTCACCAATTTACAAGGAAATGTGTAGCAGCTAGAGGGGAAAATTGATAATTAGATCTTGGGAGTTAGAGGGTTAAAAAAAATGTGTTACCTAAGCTGCTTAGTCGTGAAACTCAAGAAAAGTGTAATTGGGCTAGTTAGGTAGCCACTGGCTCCATAGAAATGCTCTAGATGATAGGGGGAAAAAGATGTAGCCATTAGCTGACATCCATGAATTTTTTTCAACTGGTTTAATTTAATTTGTAACATTTGAGGGTGTAGTCTGATCGTCCGGGTGAGTGTAGTCCTGAGAAGGACTGTTGTCGGTGGTAGTGACTGACGTTTCGACAACCTGTGTGGAAGTCATCATCAGAGTCAAGTGAATGATTGTTGTCAGTAGATTGTCTACTGTCAACTGACAACTGACAACAATCATTCACTTGACTCTGATGATGACTTCCACACAGGTTGTCGAAACGTCAGTCACTACCACCGACAACAGTCCTTCTCAGGACTACACTCTCCCGGATGATCAGACTACACCTTCACATGTTACCTCTGGGTTCAAGCCATTTACTGCATTAATTTGTAATATTATTAATTTCATTCCATTGCTAGAGGAGATGACTTTGTGGAAATGCCATGTGAACCCCTAACAGTCACAGCTTATCCCTTTAACTCCCATGATTTGTTTTTTAGTTCTCCCCTCTGGCTGGTACACATTTTTTTGGAGAATTTGGTGTTAAATTAAATTAACAACTTCTATTTGATAGGCCTGAGTATTCTCATTACCTGTTAGGTGGATAATGTATGCTAGCTTATTGTAAGGGGAAGTTACATGACTGTTAATCACTTCTGGAAGCTAAAGGGTAAATTCTTATCACGACAATAATTATCATCATCAACACTGCTATCATAAAAGAAAAGTCACCACCGAGACATAGTTGAGCCCGGCGGCATTCAGGGTGCATGTCTTGATAATCAAACCCAAGCCCATATTTCATTTCAGATTTGAATTCACTTTAAATTTCAATTTGCATCCTAGATGTTGATAACATTGTTGAGCGAGTTGCTAACATTATGACAGCAGAGGATGAGCAAAGTCTGACCAAAAGTTGGAGAACACAGTTTGAAGAGTAAGTGCTGAATATTTCACCATCAAAATTTCTCTCTGTCCACTTACATTTTTTAAATTTATTTCTGTGTGATGAAATGTTCCGAAGTTGTCTTATCTTTAGTTAATAATTGCATTTTTCTTCATGTCACATCAGGGCAATGGTTATTCAAGGGGAGGAGGATGACGAAGGAAACACAGAACCACTCAGCATAATCGACTTTATCCTCCATTTTCTCACTTTTTTCTGGAAAGTGCTATTTGCGTTAATTCCTCCAAGGTGACTCCTTAATGTTTTCAATAATAAGTTGCCTTTGCAGACATTTAGTATACTGGTAATTGCACTCTTTTGTGTTTTGGAGAGAACAGAATTATGACAGACACACAAGACATTAACTTCACCATTGTACCTTGGAAAAGTTCAGTGATTGATGTACATAACTGTTTGCTGTGTTTTTTCTGTTCAGGAACTGTTGCGGTGGATGGCCTGCATTTTTCATGTCTCTGTTAGTCATAGCAGGACTAACTGCATTGGTAGAGCAGGTATGTGGTATGCTCAATTCATGAATTCTTAATAGTTATTGAATACATAAATGAAGAAATATATATCAGTAAGTGATACTAATTAACTAATTTCTACTAATGACAGTAACCCTTACTTACGTCTGATGAAGGAAAGCTATCTCTTCAAAGACCTTTTAAAATTAAAAATTTATGAAATACATGTTGGTGTATTTCTAATCAGCCTATCAAGTTGGCTAAGAGTTTATCGTCATCTTTTACAGCTTGGCAAACTCCTGGGTTGTGCTGTAGGGCTTAAGAACAGTGTTACAGGAATCACGATCATAGCAATTGGTACTAGCTTACCTGACACCTTTGCCAGTCGTAGTGCTGCATTGCAAGATATTGGAGCAGATGCATCAATTGGGAATATCACAGGTTTGTGCAACTGCAGCAGTCACCATCTAATTATGCATTTGTGACATTAAAAAATTACTTCTCCACAGATACTCACACAATACATTCATTATGCGTATGATGCACGATCCTCGCAGTAGAGAGCACTATTTATGCAATAGCGAAAAGCAGACCTGAAAAAAATCAGGCCTGTACGGGATTCGAACTACTGACCTCTGCGATACTAGTGCAGCGCTCTACCAATTGAGCTAACAAGCCAACTGGGAGCAGGCCGTTAAGTTGATTCGTAATAAACCTGTGATGATAAATCAGATACAATGAATATATGAAGTTCATATATTTTGAACTGCGGTTGTAGATATGTATGATGCACGATCCTCGCAGTGGAGGCCTGATTTTTTTCAGGTCTGATTTTCGCTATTGCATAAAATAGCACTCTCTACTGCA